TAACATGGAGGATACATTAGCTTTCAAGAGATTTGAATCTTTGGCAACTACTCCAACGTACACAGGTGCAGTCGTTTTAAAAGATGATGTTGATAACTCTTTACTCAGTTCAGTTCAGTTCCACTCATTTTCTAATTAATTATATATAAAAGTTTATAAGATTATGTAAAAAAGATTTATCTATTAATTAAATTCTTATTACTTTTTACAGCTATTCAAGTGTATCAAAGCCAACGAGATTTGACTCGTAAAATCAAAAGAAAAATTGTTAAACAACTGATTGTTTCTTTACAGTCAGAAGAAAATCAAATAAAAGTTTTGACATCATCATATTTTCCAATAGATTTGGAAAATGTGACGTTACAAGCTTTATCACCAAATGGTGAAAAATTATTAATATTAAGAGTTGTTAATGATAATAAGGATAAAAAAAGATATGTCGAGGTATTTAGACTGGCTATAATAATAAATTTACATAAATAATTAACAAGTAAAATAAATAAATGAATGATTTAGACTTGGGTTCGTGGATCATTAAAACATATTATTGATGTTACTGATATTCATGGTGACTTTTACAATAATGGTATATATATATATATATATATATATATATACGTGATTACTTTTTAGTCTTTTACTTGGAAATTAACTTTATTTTTTGTAATATCAAAGAAACATTTGGGACTTTGGATTGGTCTAAGGATGGAAAAAAGGCTGTATACATTGCTGAGCGTAAAGCTCTTGATGGTAAAGATGAAAAGGTTGAATAAATCTACAAGTATAAATATACGTATAGTAGTATACATATATTATATTGTAAAGTAAATAAATAAATAAATATATATATATATATATATACATGTATTAGAGATTTAATTTTGAACCTGACTGGGGGGAAAAATTGGTCAATAAAAAATTTCCAATTATTGTGACAGTAGATGTAATAAATAATAAGGTTCAGGCTTTGCCTTCATTTGAGAATATTGCACCTGGACAGGTTTGATTAATAATCTTAAATTTTCCAAATCAATTATAGTATTTCAATAAAATTTAATTTTATTATATATATAACTTAGGTCATATTTGGACCAGATAGTAAAAACCTAATTTTTGCAGGATATCTCACAGAATCACGAAAATTTGGTATTTATGCTTGTATTAACAGAAGGTGGAAAGTAATTCTATTATAGTTTTTTCAATTGTTTAGTAAATTTTATGCTAATTTATTCTGCAACGCACACATATATTTCTCCAGATCAGGAATTTATCAAGTTCAATTAGATGGATCAAACTTAGGTATAAGTTGTTCAAATGATTATGCACACATACATCATACATATTTTGAAGCTTATCGAATTGTAATAATTTTATTTGCAAAAAGAATATTTAAGCAATAAAGTAGAACATGCTCGATCTCCAAGACTTAATCTAAACCAAGGAACTCTGGTTTGAATTATTTACAACAATATATTACACTTATATTTATAAATAAATTGACAAACCAAATACTATTTGAATTTCAAAAAGGTATACCTGTCAAATCCAGCAGGTGGACCACACAGTTGTTGTTCAGAACTTCGAAAGGTGAAAAAATTATACTTATTACCTATAACTATTAATATATCTTTTACTAATTATTACCTTAAATAAAAATACAATTAGTATACTTTTGGAAACAGTTCCAATGAGTCTATAATAGTTCCAATTGTTCATTGTCCATCAGAAAATTTCTATGATTATTTTCCAGGAATTTATGTTGATAAATTACCCCAAAAATCATTTATAAAACTAAATGATAATGATGATGAATATGTAATTTTTAATAGTTATTGGAGAAGCAGGCGAGTTATTCTAGCAATTAATTCAATCAACGGTAAAATACAAAATCTTACACCATCCGGAAGTTGGAATTTGCTTCTAGCAGAAAATAATTATATTATTGCAACGAGTAGTTTACCCAATGAATTTCCTAAATTAGTAAGTTAATACAGAATTTTGGTTTGTTATTTTTTTATTATTTATGATTATTATTAATAATTTGCAAAATAGTATATTGGCATTATAATTGAAAAACATGAAGGTTTAAAGGTAGATTGGACTTTTATAGATCAGCCGAATTTGGAAGAAGGTTTGATATATTTATTAATGTGATAATAATCTTATAATTTAAATTTTTGATAATCCCATTATTATTATTAGTTGAGCCGATTTTATCTAATATCAGCTGGTCAATAATTCAACCTGATGAAACTAACCCTAACCTGGAGTTAATTTACCTAAAGCCAAAAAATGTTACGAATGATAAAATACCTTTAATAGTTATTCCACATGGTGGACCACATTCCGTTTCAGTTCTAGGTGTTGATTTATATAATACAATATTAGTTTCATTAGGATATGCTGTTATAAAAGGTACTAGACTTTATAAATAAATAAATATAAAGATTTGATTATTATTATTATTGTCATTATTATTAATACTATTATTAATATTAATTCAAATACAATTTAAAGTTAATTATACTGGTAGTACAGGATTTGGGCAAGATTCTATTGATGCCCTTATTGGAAAAATTGGTGATGTTGAAGTAGAAGAAGTTCAGGTTAATAATCTTATTATCGTTATTTTTTAATAACTCACATTATTGATGATTAATTGTTTGATTTCTTAGTTATCTACAAAATATATAATTGAAAAAGAAAATTTAGATGAAAAAAATGTTGTTATTATGGGTGGTAGCCATGGAGGATTTATCTCGGCTCATTTAATTGGCAAATATCCAGTTAAGTTGTTGAATTTATCATTATTTGATAAATTTTAACACATACATTATGAATGAATATTTGTAACATAAATATAATATTACAGGATTTTTATAAGGTCTGCATAATGATGAATCCAGTATTGAATATTGGAGGTAATTATAAAATTATTAAAAAATTTAATAATTATTTTTATTATTCATATTGATTTTTTTCTTGAAAATTTTTTAATACATATAACAGGAATGACTCCAATTACTGATATTCCAGATTGGTAAATCATTTTAGATTTTAAAAGTCAAATTATATATTTTAAAATATTAACAAAATTAACCAATTAGGTGTTTTTCCGAATGTGGAATTGAATATTCGTTAAAAAGACCATCAATAATGAAACCAAAAGATTATTCACAAATGTTTAATAATTCACCAATCAAGAATATCGATGAAGTAAAAACACCCACATTATTAATGTTGGGACAAGAAGATAAAAGAGTTCCACATTATAATGGATTAAATTGGTGGTATTACCTTAAGGGTAAAGGTGATGTAGATATTCAGTGTAAAATGTATAATGAAACAGGCCATTCTTTGGATAGCATAGATGCAGAAGTTTTTGGTTTCATAGCTATAATTAACTTTTTAAATGAAAAAGCAGAATTTAATTTATCAAAAGATTCTTAATATTACTTATCCAAAGTTTTTGTAACCTTTTAATGTTTATATTACAATTGGTTATAATTTATTTACTTGTGTTATTTAGTATTTATTCATTTAATCTTTCTTTTTTATTGACTTGGCTTTTTGGGGATTCTAAAATAAAAAATTTTTAGAAGACTTACATGATAGTGTTTGGAGATGTTGTTTGCTGTCCAACACTTAAAGTTCATTTAATAAAATGAGAAAATCTAATCATAAAGCAATGGGGTTGGTCACAATGGTTGATCATCAAACATAGTTCAGTTCAATATAGAAAATTACTATGTGCGGATTTTTTAATGTTACACGCATATATATCATCAAAACATAGTAAATAATCGAAGATTTATTTAAACTTTAAAACGTAAAGGCTCGATAACCAAGCAGGCTGTTGGAATAATCCTTCCGCGATTGTATTCGCATATGCTCAATTAAGGGCCTGTCAGAGAGTTTTTTTCAATTATATTAGTAAAAATTTTTTTTGTAAAGGTTCAAAGTTATCAATTTTATTGATTTTACTATAAACAATGGAAATTTATTTAAACTTTAAAACGTAAAGGCTCGATAACCAAGCAAGCTGTTGAAATAATCCTTCCGCAATTATATTTCCAAACACACAGTTAATAACCGATCAGAGAGTTTTTTCTTTTATATTACAGTCAAACCTTGTCATAACGAATTTCGATCTAGTACAAATTTAGAAGGTATCAGCAGAAATATTGTATTTGATTGGATATTTCTGCAGATACCTTCTAAATTTGTACTAGATTGAAATTCGTTATGACAAGGTTTGACTGTAGATGGAATTAAAAAAAGAACTCAGCACTTAAAAATATTGCTAAAGTTTCTGTGCAGAAAAACAAAAAAAACTAGAAGATAATGAAATTGAGCGAGAAATTATTATTTAATTTGAAAATATAATTTAATGATTAATTGGATATTTCTTTTTTAGGGACAATAGTGATTCTGCTAATTCTGAAGAAGACTTTGAAGAAATGTATCCATATTTTGATGAAGAGCTTGAAAATAATAGTGAATCTTTATTTCAATTACTGAATGATAATATGAAAATTTATAAGGACAAAAGGCTATTATTAACCTATCATGGAAATTTAAAAAGCACACAAAAAAGAAGAAAAGCATCAACAAAAGAAAATATCAATAAAAATGGTCAACTCTTGGTCAATTTTTTATTTTAGAAAAAAATTCTCATGAAGAAATGACTCAAAATAATGACTCACAAAGTTCAGAAACAGTTAATAATGAATTAGGAATAGTTGACAATTTCCAAAAAAAATTAAGTATAAATTATGATGATTTGATCAAAGATATTGAAATCAATCATCTGATGTTGCAAAAGGTCATAGTTTAATATTAAAAGCTTTGCAATATTATTTTGAATTATTAAAAAAAAAAACAATAAAAAAAATTAAGGCAGCAGATTTAGTTTCAGAAATCTTAAATAAAGGTCCATGGTTTTCAAAATGTATAAGTTGGGGAAAATCATTTATAAAATATGGTGATGTTTCATATAAAAAAAGAGGTGAAAATTTAAGAGGATGCATTATTGATGATGAAGATGTTCAGGTTAAAATATTATCTTTTTTAAGAAAAGAAAAATTTAATGTGTCAGTTAATTTCAAAGAATTTATTGCTAAAGATATATTTCCTATTATAGGGGTTGAAAATGAGATGACAATCAGGAGAGAAAACAATTAATTTTCAAAAATTATTCTTAATGAAAATTTTTTTTAAGTTTATCAACAGCAAACAAATGGTTGAAGAAAATGGGTTATATATATATACGGCAAATATAAAAAAGGCCTTTATTTTGATGAACATGAAAGAAGTGATGTGGTTGAATATTGAAATAAATTTTTGGAGGAAATGGAGTTGTGAGTTGTGGATTTATTATAATGATTACCATCTAAAAAAAAATAGTTAATTAAATACTTGATTTTTAATATAGATTTTAGCTTGTGAACAAAAGTCACAAGGTGAACATTAAAGTTTATAGATCCAAATTTTTTTTGAAAAAAAGTAGCTTTGGCAATAGTCTGGACTTCTCAATATTTTTTATAATGAAAAACTAACCTATTTTAATTTAAATAACTTGAAAAATAATTTCGCCCAATTTCGCTATTAAATAAAAAATAGTTTGGCCTATAAAAAATTAATATTTGCCAAAGTTTTTCAGAAATTTTGGCTACAAAATAATGTAGTTTCGACCAACAGGAGGGAACACAAAATTTTAACCCATGCCATTTGTTGATTGACCAATTAAAATCGCGAATTTGATAAACGTAGAAATAAATATGGGTTTGATTCATTTTGTCAACA